TGTTCTTCCTCCACAGTTCGAGTACTAGTGGAGTTCTAATACCTGATGAGAGAGTAATTATTCAGAAGAAAATTACAACCTTTGATCTACTAATTGAGCACAAGAAAGTGTGACTGCTGCTGTCGCGCTATGGGTGAGAATGAGAACAGTTATAAAGCAGCGACATGGACTATAATCAGCTTGAGCAAATGCATTTTGCCACAATCATGCACGTGTGAGGCCCTCAATGTCATGGCAGCTCTTAATACAATTGTTACTGTATGTTGTATAATGATTGGGGCAATAATGATAATTATAATGATTGGGGCAATGTGTGTGTGTGTGAGTGTATGTTGGTGCTACAACGTTGCACTCTTCACTCTGTATTTTGTTTATTATTTGTTTGGTTGACTACAGCAGTTTAGCAACGTCTGAAATAATAAACTGCATAAACACATTTGTTACATTTACATTGTCCCAAAGCAGAAGTGATGTTTGTTGTATGGCAAAATGATGCAGATTATATATACCAAGACATTCTCAAAACAAATTTAAAAAAATACCACAATAACAGAGCATAAACTACAAATGATTAAGGCCAAAATGGAAAGTGTTACATGAAAAGTTATAGTTTAGAGCCATATGAGTAGGAGCAAAAACTTGGTTCATGACCAAATCCCGATGGGGCGTCATAGAACGAGCAGGTAAGCACTGTCTATTCCTGTACAAAGTAATAGCAGTAGGTTTGATATTACAAGGTGAATAAACATTTTTTTTTTATGACTATACTATGTGTGTTGCCAGCTCAACTGATACAAAATCAGCAGCTAAGCCTCTGGAAAATGAAGGCAAAGTGTATGCATTGTCGGATAACCGAGATGTTTTAAAATAATACAAATCTTGGTAATATCACAATAATCATCCTAACTAAAGCTGATACAACAAAAAAAAACAACTAATTGATATTGCATATATATATATATATATATATATATATATATATATATATATATATATATATATATATATATATATATATGTATATGCTTCATGAACAGAGACGCCAAACAACCTGCAGGTCCAGTCTGACCACAGGATTCAGGGGCTGCATTCTGCTCTTTCAATAATTCATGAAATGTCTTTGCAGTTCTTCCTTGACCCAGCACACCACAATGCATCTCCATCAGCCTGGCTCGCCTCCCTTGCATATAAGTTGGAAATATGTTATTTATTATTTTCCTCAAATGTTTCATCTCACAGCAAAGATGTCACTGCTATAGATACTTTGAATTTTACAAACGCTACAGCGACAGGGTTTTAAGCAGCAAATGTGTTTATTAGCCATCTGCTGGACTGTGTGCCTGGGTGTGAGAAAGGGAAGAGCTGGCACTGAGAAGTTATAGGTTACAGATTGCAAGACTTCTGCTCTGCAAAAGAGACGTGCTCTCATAATGATAGGTGATCTCTAGAATCTACTGTAATCATTTTAATGGTAGTATCATGACTGTAAAAACGATTAAAAATGTGACATAATAATAATAATAATAATGCATTGTTTTTTATAGCGCTTTTTTGGACACTCAAAAATGCTTTACATGTCAAAATTCTTTTGACTGCTTACATGGTGGTGATAAACTATTACTGTAGCTACAGATACCTAGGGACACACTGACAAAAGCAAGGCAACATGGATGTGCCATCAGCCCCTCCGACATGTGTGAAATAGTGGTTCTCTGCATTAGAGGTGTATGTGAGTTGCAGAAAGTGGCAGCCCCACTTACCTCAGTCCACCCATCGGGCAGTTTTTACATTTTAAAATTGCAATGGGGATGTTTTAATTTTAAAGAATTCTCAAAATCTATGGCTCTAATGATGTAAACACATGAATAAATAGACAAATACCATGATCAGTAACATAATTGTTATCATTCATTTTGAACATGAACTGTTTAATTAACATGCTATGAGTTGTAATTTGAAAGGGAGAGTTTGAATGGAGTTGGGCTAGAAAAGTTGATGTTAATATTTAGGTTAATACATTTAGCATGTATTATTAGTTTATCTGTTAGCCAACTGCTTTGTGAGGTACCACATTTATGGGATGACATGTTACATGAACTATAAAGGCCTTTTACGCCACACAAAAATCACCTCTCTAATCTGGAAGATCATCTATCACTGTTCGTATTAGAAAGTCACTCAATTAACACTTAGCCTCATCCCAGTCCATTTGCTTGCTTTGATAAGTCATTAATGGGAAACCCCTCACGCCTTTGGTGAAGTCTGATTAGGATTTTGCAGGGATACTTCCAGATTGCATTACACTCATGAGACTCACATTAAACAAACTAATTCTTGGTCTCTTGGTATTCCATGGAGTCATATGTTGCATAATTCAAATTTGACCAGGAAGGAAGACCAAGGAAAATCCAAAAGTTCCCTTCATAAGATCTCTCCCTGCTGTCCCTGTGTCCTAAACCCCAGCGAGCTCTGAGGGTGCTCCTCTTAGTGCTCTGTGTATATTTCCCTCCCCCACAAATATGCTGATTTATTGTCTTACCTGTGTGTGTTAAATGTATAAATGTTAATTGTTTGTATGTACTGTATTATATGTATTGTGTTTGTTTGTTTTATGTTCATGGGACCCTCTCGAAAATGAGATGCTGCATCTCAAGGGGTTTTCCCTTAATAAATCTAAATCTAAATCTAAATCTTAAACAGAATGTCCAGACATCCTTTGTTGGGGGGCCCACTCTGTAGTATTCTGTCTTTTACTACAGGTTATAGCTTCATTTAAAACACAGTTAACATTAATAATAATCTGATGAACAACAAACAATGTCATTCACGAATGCACATCACATAGAATATATTATTTTAGACAAGAGTTGGCGAATGCAATTGGAACAACAGGTGCCACAGCGGGGGGGCTGTAAAGTGCCAAACAGTTGCTGTGTCCTTAGGCAAGACACTTGCCTAATACCCACATTGCATATGAGCCTGGTGTGTGTGTGAATTGTTGGTGGTGGTTGCAGGGGCCGATGGCACACACTTGTTGCCTCACTTCTGTCATTTGGGCCTTTGGGCAGCTTTGAGTGTCCAAAAATAGAGCTAAAATGCAATGAATGCAAAATAAACTATGCATTATTAATAATAACGCATCGGTTTTATATATCGCTTTTGTGGACACTCAAAGACGCTTTACATGTCATTCATTCACCACATACACGGTGGTGATGAACTACTATTGTAGCCACAGTACTGACCACCACCAACCATTCACACACACACAGCAGACTCATTCTTGGCAGTTTGGTACTTTACGGCCGCCCCACTGTGGCACCTGATGTTCCCAGAAGTTAAGTGTCTTGCCAAGGACACAACAACAGCAGACATCAGTGGGAGTCAATAGTGAAAGTCAGGCTCGAACCCACGACCTTCTGGCTCAAAGGCCAATGCTCTACCAACTGAGCTACTGTACTGTCGCCCCTTATTATTATTATTTGAACGGATTTTCAAATTTCTGAATGTCAATGTCAGGTTTGATGACGATATGTAATGATTCCACATTTTTTGGGAAGGTTGAAAGGATAGAGTTGCTTTCAAAGATGAAATAATAAATACAAATAAATCATTGATTGCATGTGCACTGCAACCAGGTGGTTTTAGCCTTTCTGTCAGCAGAGCCGAAGAGAAAAACTATAAATAATAGCAGGAAAGTGTGGTGATTAAAGGATTGTTTTCTGACGAATGCATTAAGGTAAAAGAAAAAAAAAAGCAAAAAAAAAATTTCCAGAAGTTCATCCCACTCACATCTTGCTCTATATCTGGAGAAGCAAAGTTTAGGTCGCTGATAAAATATTCATCTGCAGCTATTTGCTTGAGAGAATAATTTATTTTCTTGGGTGGATGCCTCTTTTGGAGATATGTTGTGTTGTATGCTGCTATACTTTGATCAGCGGGAGGCGAGCTTGGCTGTGGATGGGGATCAGAGCAGGGTTAGCAGAGATGGGTGAGCAGGGGATTCAGGCAAGGGGACCTTGCCATTCACGTTAATGGTTTGTGAAGACTGAGAGCGTGGCTTCTGGACACTGTGTCATCATCCTGACACTGGCCAGATTTGGGGCGGTGCCAGCAGCACATAGAGATGGAGAGGCTGGGAAGATGATAGAGGAGCCCGGGGTTGAATAAATGTTTTACACATGTGCACTCAAGAAAAATTACATAGCTGTGTGACACAAGCCCTACCCAGCAGAAAGTGAAAATAGCATGCTTTAGTTGGATATTGGTAAAAGCTGCTAACCACTAACTAATGGCAAACTGAGTACTTTCACTATATCCATGTGTTTGTGGTTCAACTGGCAGCTCCAACGCAAACATGCACAAAGTGTAACACATTAGACTTTAGGTTTACCCACTGTATTGTATGTACCTGTCTTCTACTGGTGTGGTGAAGTGAAGGGTCAGAGAGAGTTTTGGCCTGTGTCTTGTCTGAGTGAGTGAGTGTGTTAGATGCATATTCTCCTTGTGTCTGCGTAGGTTTCTTCCGGGTGCTCCGTTTTCCCCTACCACTAAAAACATGTAAAATAAGTCTGGCATTCGCCGCCTGTACTGGCGACCCCGCTTTGTGACTCTGGTCTGTGAAAGGCGGAATATAAATAAAAATTATTTATATTCAGAATACTCTTTTTGAGTAACTGTATTCTGTTACAGTGACTACTTTCTAGTCTAGTATTTAGAAAACAGTTGGTTAGAAAATTACAATACATACTTTCTCATATTACTTCTCCAAGGTAAAAAAAAAAACAACAACAAAGAAAACGTGTGTGCTTGTATGTCTGTGTTAGCGCATGCATCTTTGCGTGTTTGTAAATTAGCTAGGTTATATTTCTATTTCTAGGTTATATCTTGTAACAGAATACATTTTCAAAGTATTCTACCCAACACTGAACTCTGTACAGTTTGTTTTTTGTTTATCTTTCGTTGTGGGCTCGCTTTGGGTGCATGTAGAAAACACTCACCAGGAAGAGCAAGCGGAAGTTGGCCAGTTGACCAAAGAAGTCCTCCACGCTGACGGAATCCGGGTCAAAGGCGAAGTAGCTGCCAATGCTTTCGTAGAGCTTCTGCATGTTCTTGTGCATGGTGGACAGTTTCTCATACTGCTCCCGAGAATGCTTGCAGAACCCGTGCAATCCATAGAGTCAAGGAAAGGTGACAGACAAACACTCCGATCACATAATGGCAGTACAAAAAGTTACAATAGAATCTTATGATTAGATGGAACACAATCTCTCAAGCTTTATGGACGTGAAAATCACTCTTTGATGCCAAGGTCAAGAAAACAAAGCTCTGGACAAAGAGGGGTCGTGAAGAACGTAAGCTGTTATTATTACAACAACCTCTCCAGCTCACTTCGGAGTCAATAGCTTGGTGAGCTAATAGCTGCAGCCCTGGAGTAATGGAAAGGTGTTTTGTAAGCAGCAGTGTGACATAGATGCTTGCAGGAAAAGCTGATTGCAGTCATTGTTCTATTGTTTCTCCCAACAACAGTGGGGTCAGGTTGTTTGGAACCTGCTGGCTCCCGTCGCACTATGTAATTTAGTGAACGGGCGGAACACTTTGCTCCTGGTGAATGGATATTGACAGTCGGCATCAGTTAAGCATTATCGCTGCGGACACTGACCTCATAGAGACTGACACACCAGGTCTACACACTGGCAACATATTAATTTTGCAAATACAGAACAATATGAAGTTGATTATAATTATTTGTCTCAGTATTTTTGAGAATTCTCAAAAATACTGTATACATGTGCAAAAATAACCTTTCATTTGTCCTTGAATTTTTTTTAAAAGCTTAAATTGTAATCAAAATATAGCAAATGTTTTGTCCAGTATTAGCTGAATGTTTGAATATTATATTATAATATGTTGTATATGTGACTATGAACAGATTTTACAAAGCACTTGCCACATTGTATATAGACAAAGATATTAAATTTATATAATTTTTTTAATGCACATCAAATGGAATTGCAACATAAATCTTCACGCAGACAATAGGTAGTCTCTGCTCACATGACGGGGTTTATGCGTTATAAAGAAAATGAACGCTGGAGACGGCTTTGCTCGCTTAAAGCAAGAGAGAAATTATCAAAAACTACAATGAGGCACAATGAGTGAGCAGCACATGCAGCCCCAGATATGGATGTCTCTCTTTTACACCAACTGCTGTGCGTCTATCGTGGTCAGATTTAATGTACCGCCAAAACATTACAATCCTTTTGGCCAACAGTTACTTTGCACGAGTGCTAATTAAGTCAATAATCTGTGATAGTTGTCTTAATCAATAAACAATACATGCGGTTGTATTGGGAGTTTAAGATAGAAGATAGATGGTGTATTTGTAACAACTTTTAGCCTTCTTCTCCTGGAGCCATTCTTACGTCCTCATGTTCGCGCAAGCAGTGCAGTGCCTGTATCTCACTGGGGACCGGACTGAGGCTGCCTGGGCTTTGGCTCCATGCATTTCCACATCAAAGACATGTCATATAGATGGAGGCTGACGCACACTATCCTGCGGCAACACCAATACAATGTGGAGGTTTCATCAAGCACACACAGACTGAAAACTCACTGCACTGAAGTCACAGAGAAGTATGCAACACATTATTTTCAATGCTACTGTCGCTAGCCCCTGATGGGTCCTGAGCAAACAGCAAGGCTGCATTGAGTTGTGCCAACCTGTTTGTCGGTCCTCTCCCCTGCTCAGCGTCCTCTTTTTTAGTTGAACTCTCTAGCCCCACAGCTCTGCATGGTTTCCTTCAGTTTCAGATACAAACTGAATCTATATACTGTATGAATATATTTTTTTCCTGGAGGTGGTGCGATATATGAAAGGTGACTACATGAATAAATTGAATAAGCAGATGTAAATAAACAAAGCACATATGCTTTTATCAAAATGCTTTTAGTGGGTAAGGATCCATCTTTAGGTCACTGTACAGTATACAGATTATTCAAAACAATTTTCAAAAGCAAACGCATCCTTTATTATTTGTGCCTTCCTGAGTTATTTGTGCCTTCATCATGTCCTTTATGCTCCTTTTGATCAGTCACCTTTTAATCTGTTTCTGCATGCCAGCAAGGGTATATTTAAAATCAAAAAGCTAAGATGAAGAGAGTGAGAAAAAAATCATAAACTGCTTTTTGGGGAGTCACTCAAATTCTCAATGACCACCTAGGATGGCAATAAATGATTTGCTTTGTTTACCTATGCGCATAGGAGCGTTATTAAAGCACCACATAAAACTCAACAGAGAGGGCCAAAAAGCCTGCCTAAAAAATCTCCAGTAACCTACTTCCATTAATGTTTATTTAATGCTTTTCCTATGAGATCGCTGGCCCTTTGCAGCCAGGCCTCACACTAAGCCTGCTTTCCTCCCCAAAGCCCAGATCCAGCTCTTATCCCCCACACCTACAGCCAACAGCCCCAATGGGCCAAATTACACCACTGCTGCCCACTGACTAGACATGGCCGAACCAGACCAGGGATAAAGGAATGGAAGTGCCAGAGCAGTGCAAAAAGCATTTTTTGATGTAAATACAAGGATTGTATAAATTTTGCAATATAAGCAATAACTTTGTGTTGTTGGGGTACATTGCATGTTGTTTTTATTCAAACAAAATAATGTATTTTTTTTCCACATTGTGCAATTCAAATTCTGTTTTAAATTTTGCAGAGGTAGATGTTGGTGATTTTGACAGCTCAATGTCCCCTGGGAGGAGGTGGTGAGAAACATTGGCACTGTCAGAGGGAATTAGCAACGAAGCCAGAACTAGCATTAGGGGATGTGACCCAGTGAGGTGGAGACAGAGGAAGAGCATGTGAGGATAGTAGGATATACTGCATGAAACACATAAGCAAGGACACAAGGACGGCCAGCAGGCACAGGCACAGAAGCATCTAAAGCACTCACCCCATATGCCCCTTCATTATTGTGGTAGAAAACAGACAATTTTGCACAAGCTCCAAAATCACATTCTCTCATTTATCTTGGAGCTGGAACAGAACACTCTTGGCCAAGCTACACTGATTAGGACACATCTTTTCATCTACACCAATTGAAATAATAATTACTATAAAAGCTGCTCGAAACCAAAAAGAAAAATTGAGCCTGTCCATTGTGAATTTCCAGTCGTGTTCATCTAGCACGGGAAAAATTAATTAAATCTTAACCAAATACTTTGGTGAAACAATGTCTGCAGAATGACTGGATCCCATCCAAAGTAATCAAAGCACCTTGGATGTGCCATTGAAGAGGTGACAGTGTTTTTGTCGGTCTGTCTCTGGGTGTTTTATGCCATTTCATATCAAATCAAATCAATAAAACCAATGGATTTAAGTAGAAGTTAAAATGCATAGAAAAAGTTAAAACAACAAAAATAGTCAAAAGTTAAGCTAAAAAAGTGTGCCTTGAATCTGCTCTTAAAAATGCTCACTAAATTCTTCTGTTTTGTATTAGGGTATCCTCTTTGCAAATGTACATAATTCTTTTTTTATTGTATTTATTTTACTCTATTTTTATGTCAATGCAAATATGTTATGCACTTTTGATGTTTTTTAATATTTCGGAAAATTCTCACTAAACAGATTTAAAAAAACTAAAAACCTGGCTGTTCCATACAAGAGGGAATTTAATACTAACCTGGCCTCAGCCATCAATAAACTCTGGTCAATTATTATTTCCCCACATGTACCATCTAACAATGTGCTCTCAACTGACCTACCTGATTAAACGTTAAAAATATAGACATGTAACTGTAATCTCATAAATATGTAAGTTATACTCAACATTGTTCTGCAATACTTTATATTCTGACTCTGGTTCCCATGTTAAAACAGTTTAGAATCCGGAGGAACGGAGCTTTGGGCCAAGAGCCAACTTTTGCTCCATCCTGTAAAGACGTTTTTGAGAGGTCTGCCAATGCTATATGTTAGCATTGGCTAATTCTACTTCTGGGTCCACCCCCATCGGCCCGGGGTGGTATTGCAAGCATGTCAGCGCACGTCATTTTGGCCACTTTTGAGCTGGGACCCTCCCCCACTGGCTGAAACGCGGAAGCCCCGCTCACCAGACGCGCATTCTCTAGTTTTCAGACGCAAAGGACTTCACACCAGAACGTCCTGACGCGAGCCGCAAGTTCCGGAAGTAGCCGGCCGGCTCTGATGCTAACAGAGCTATGCTAGCGGCTTCTTGTGTACAGATCTTCTCCAATATTCAGCTTTGCAGCGTGTCTTTGCTCACAGACATTCCACGGGCTTTATATAACAGCAGTATGTGTTCACGGAGGTGACTTTATATAAACAGCAGTATTGTTCACGGAGGTTTTTATATAACAGCAGTATGTGTTCACGGAGGTGACTTTTAGAACAGCAGTATGTGTTCACGGAGGTGCGCCATACGTGTTTTCATATTATTATTAACGGTAATTCCGCATCGGTGAACACACTCGAAGCAGTTGCATAAGGTCACGGGAGCATGACAACGCATATTTCACAGCACAGAGTCCCCCATTGTCAACACTGGTTTGAGTTCTGGTGAAGCCTGGTGTGGGTCCTGTTTTGGCTGTTCATGAGTATTTTCAGTCTGCTCGCTCAGTCCGCTAATGTCCCTGTGACCACTTTGCAGCTCTCTGATTGGTTGTCGCACGAACGTCCCAAGGAAAGGATGAGCAGAATCCATCTCCTGTGGGCGTTGATTTTTCGCTCCTGCTCCTCCCTTTTCACTTTCCCGCCAAGTCCGTGCGTCATTATTGAACAGTCCGTTCGTGCGTGCCGAGAGGTCCGTGCGTTGTGACGGTCGAACGCGCGCCACCATAGACTTTGCATTTAAACCCGACGCAACGCATGATCCGGTCTGAAAGCACCATTAGATAGTCCACAGAGAGTGGTTGACTGCAGGAAGTTTCAATCACACATTCAGTCACATTCACACCTCTAGACTGTTCAGGGAAACAGCACTGCCACCCAGAGCTACCACGACAGGGTCCTGGCCCTAGCTTAACAGTTGAATTTGACCAAAAAAAGCTCTTGTATAAAACTCATAAACTTATAAATTATACACTGCATATGACTTTG